TCCTTCTGAAGAAGGGTCCAGACCCGAAACGTCAGCTTTCCTGCTCCTCTGATGCTGCCTGGCCTGCTGTGTTCATCCAGCTCTACACCTTGTTATCTCAAGACTCCAGCATTGGCAGTTCCTACTATCTCTGAATGAAGACTGATACATGCCTTTATCTTTGGCCAAGTATTTTAAGCATTCAACCACAAAGGGCCTTGTAGTGCGTTACAGCTCACTTAGAGCGTCCAAGTTGCTTTGGCAATGTGCATTTTTACCTGGACCTATTTACAGTGATGGTAGAGGCTCCAACTACTTCACAACACACGGCTAACCAGGAATCACTCCCACTGTTACACACTTCCATTTGCATATGTAAGATGGATTTACAAATTCATAATCGGCCTGTTTGGCTGCATCATGAGGCAGTTCAGAGAATGGTCACTAGGATGATCCTTGCTATGGAGAGATTGCCTTATGAGCAAAGGCTAAATAGGTTGGGACTCTACTCATTGGAGTTTAGAAGAATGAGAGGTAATCTCATTGAAACAGATAGGATGACAGGGTAAATGCTGAGAGGATGTTTCCCCTTATGGGAGAGTCTAGAGCACAGAGTGTATAGTCTCAGAATAAAGGGGTGCCAATTTAAGACTGAGATGAGGAGACATTGCTGCCCTTGGAGGGTTGAGAGTCTTTGGAACTCTGTGCCACAGAGAGCTGTGGGGGGGAGAGCCCTTGTGCACATTTAAGGCTGAGATAGATTCCTGATCAGGAGGGGAATCAAGCATTACGGGGAAAGGGCAGGAAAGTGGACATTAGGAATGTTGGATCAGCTATGGAATGGTGGTGAAGGCTTGAAGGACTGAATGGCCTACTCCTGTTCCTATTTCTTTTAGCATGTCTATGTCTTGACCAGCAAATCCTAGGGTGGGAGTTAGGGGTTCTGGGTCTTGATGGGAAGACACAATCCACTGTGCCAAGGCCTCAAGTGTATATGGCTTTGAAATCACTTATTAATTAGACCCATTATCTTTTGTTTACCCTGTAGCTCTGCAGTTGTTTTAATGTATACTCTATTCTCCAGTATTGAATCTAACCCTTTTAAGACTCCAGTTGGGGAAAATACAAGGCTATGAGCCACAAACTGGATAACAAGATGAGAATAGATAGGTGCTTGATGCCTGGCACGGACAATGATCCAAAGTGCCTTTTTCAATGCTGTAACAATCCCTTGATTCTGTGAGATCAGAGCAGCTGTGAGCCCTATAAGATCACGAGAGGCATAGATAAGGTAGATAGCCAACAGCTTTTCCCCAGGATAGGGGGGTCTAAAACTGAAGGGTGTAGGTTTAAGGTGATGGAAGTGTGGTGACCCTCAGGCCACCAACGGCCACTTCTCCCTTTAACGGGCGAGCAGCCTACACAGTGACTATATTTTTATTCAATGTGTTGGTCCATCAGGAAATGTGGGTGGAATCTTGTGTCCTCACCTGCGGCCCATTTTAGAAGCGGGGTCACTGAATCAGGTGGGGACCACATCACCTTTCTGCCTCCATCACTGTAGCAGTTTACTTTTCCTTTCCACACAAACGGGTAGTTAGTGGCTGGAGGTGTCTTGTGCAAATGCCCTCAGCTGTAATCGAGGGAGCCATGGTGGGAGGGTGGGGTGGCAGCTGAGAGCCACTTGCCCCTTCCCTCTGCTGTTGCTGCCCACCCCCCAACTCCTTTCCTGTCATCACTCATTCATGCCTGGGTACCTCCTTGATTCTAGGCCCTGGGGTGTGTGTAGTCCTGGCAGCAGCTGTTGCCTTCCCAGTCCCACTTCTGAGCACAAAAGAGCTGTGATTGTCAATAGGTTTTGGCAGGAGGGAAAGTGCTGCCTCTTCTCTCCCTCTCCAAATGCCAGGAAAGGTATGCTATTGGTCAATTAAGTGCCTAATTGATACAAAATGCAATTGCCCTTCCTGTAAACAGACAACACAGTGGCTCTCTGAGATAACAAGGTGTAGAGCTGGATGAACACAGCAGGCCAAGCAGCATCAGAGGAGCAGGAAAGCTGACGTTTTGGGTCTGAACCCTTCTTCTGAAGGGTCAGCTTTCCTGCTCCTCTAATGTTGCCTGGCCTGCTGTGTTCATCCAGCTCTACACCTTGTTATCTCAGACTCCAGCATAGGCACTTCCTTACTATCACACAGTGGCTCTCTGCTGTGTTCTGCACCACAAAACTACCATTAAAACCCTAAGAGTCACTAATGCCCTTCGCAGCCTCAAAGGGCATCCCTGAAGTGGCCGAGCAGTTGTAAGGCATTTCAAATATAATTTAGATGGACAATTAATACTGGGCTTGCCAGCATCACACATCTTGGGAACTTCTAAAACGTGGTTTTGAAGTAGAGTTAATAATCTCCAGAACATTCCATCTTTCCTCACAAAAGGACTGCTGAGTGTTAATTCAAGTGTAAGTCAGCAGGGCAACATTTGGTTCCATGAGAGAATAATTTTCCTGTGATTTTTAACTGCTCATTCCTTTATTCTGTCTTACGGTGGCTTTAAACATTAGTCGAGGGCATAATGTACCAAAAATTCTATAAAAGAAGTGAGCTGTGGCATTTAACTGATGGAATCCACCTCAGGATTCAAGGTATTGTTCCACTTTTAGGAATAATATCACATTACATTCTGGCTGCTGAGAACAGAGAACTCTTTACTGATCCCTGAATTAGGAAATGAGCCATTCAATCATATCAAAACTCATTACAATGATTACAAGTGGACAGATTAAACAGTGAAGATCATAGCTTGCTTTTAGTTAGAAGGATCAGGAATTGATTTTGTTTTGCTCAGGGGAAACAAATGGTTGTAAATGCTTTCGCTTTCAATTTGCAGACATTCTGGTTGAAAGTACTAGAGAAATTAACTGGTTAAGAAAAGTTAGGAATTTATTTCCTCAGTATGAGCATTTTAGCTTGAAAGTTACAGACCAGAAGTGTTTGGTTTGAATATTGCCAAGGTTATTTGAAGCTGAGAAATTTTAAGCTCTGTTGTGTATATATTCAGTGAAGAGGTGATCAAACTTTCAAGACAGAGAATTGAAAGCATCAGTTAAGTCATACCTATAAGATATGATAAAGAAGGGGAATTTTCTCTGGTGTTTCAGTACTGTAAAGGGGAGCTGTTGGAATAGATGGAATATTGTACTTTTAATGTGTGTTTTGAAATCTTTCAAATTGTGTTACATGCAAATGAATTCATTTGTTTAATTTTATCTTTTCTTGGGCATAATAAATTTCTATTTTATTGTTAGAACAAGATCTGCAGCATTGTGAGCGTGCATTTCAGTAAAAGACCACGTCATTAAATAAATAAACATGAAATATGATTCATCAAGCTAGATTTCTGTCTAAGATCTGATTGTCCAGTAATAACATCCGCTGGGATTTTACACAACTTACTGTGGCTTGAGAAAATGGCTAGCCAGCACCTTTGAAGAGATAACTCGGGAAGGACAATAATGAAAACCTTGCCAGAAACATTCACATCTGAGGCATCTTCTGTAGAATTGTTTTAAAGTTTTATATATGCTACAGGTATCCCCCAGTCTCTGTTGTCAGTTCTGGAAGACAGTGCAATACATATGTTGAATGAGGAGGAGAGCGGTGTGGTTGAACAGAGGGAGTGAGCTCTTACACTTATGATGATGGAGGAAGCAGAGTTAATAGTGTGATAGTTTCAATAGGCCAAGTGGACTCAATCTGGTCTTGCAATTTCAATGATTCTAGAATTAAACCCAATTATTGCTGAAAAATGACACATCTTGTCAGATATTCTTGTCTTGCTTTCTTCAGGACAATTTGCAAGAATACCAATTGAAAGGCAAAAACAACATTTAGAGGAGATTGCTGATTGATTGGTAAGTGGGCTCTGATTGGTAGAGGCATTGCCATTAATTTTGATTGATAGCCAACTGCCAAATAACCAGGTAGGCTGACTCTGATTGGTCACGACATTGCCCCCTGAGAAATGAATCAGCAAATATCAATCACTCAATTTTTGGAGTTGAAACAGGCACAGTGTGAGTACACGTTCTTTCTGTTTGCAGAGAACAGAGTGCTGTGTATCAGTAAATTAGTCCAGTTAAAACACATTAACAGAGCTGAAAAGGTGAAATTAGGGACAGTCCCAGTTAGCAAGGTACATGAAGAGTACAGATTGTTGCATCCCCTGGACATTGTCGTTAATATCAAATTAATATTATAGCATATTTGAGTGCAAAAGGCGAACAGTTAAGAAACAATTCAGAGTAACAGTGAGTGGAAGAAGCCATGGTATAAATTAACTGTTGGAAAGGAGAAGAAAACACTGGACTCAAAGCCATATTACCCCAGATCCCTCCTCATTCCATGACCCATGGTATTAACCAGGTACCTCACCGTATTTTCCATGGTAATTAGCCAAAACATTGCATTGACAATTGGGTTAGCCTAGATTATTGTTGCCACATTCACAACAAGAGAGTGGCAATAAGGTTTGCGAGAGAGTCTTCCTATCTCAACCTCTCTCTTTAATGACAGAGGAACCGGGACAGACATTGAGATGCAGAAGAACATTGTAATCTTTCCTCACAGATGGTAGGCTCCAATTTCCAAGGGAAACGGGAAGGTGATGGCATCATGGTCGTATCACTGAATTAGTAATCCAGAACTCCAGGTCAATGTTCTGGGAAAAATTCTGAGGAAGGGTCACTGGACCCGAAACACTCACTCAAATTTCTCTCCACAGATGCTGCCAGAGCTGCTGAGCTTTTCCAGCAATTTCTGTTTTTGTTTCTAATGTTCTGGGGACATGGGTTTGAATCCTACCTTGGTAGGTGCTGAAATTTGAATTCAATATAAATCTGGAATAAAAAGATAGCTTTGTGGTGATGTAAAAATCCCTCTGATTCATGAATGTCCTTTAGGGAAGGAAATATGTCAATCCTAGCTGGTCTGGTCAACATGGTGGCACAGTGGTTTGCACTGTTGTGTCACAGCGCCAGGGACCCAGGTTTGATTCCAGCCTTGGGCGACTGTCTGTGTGGGGTTTGCACATTCTCCCCGTGTCTGCGTGGGTTTCCTCCGGGTGCTCCGGTTTCCTCCCACAGTCCAAAGATACGCAGGTTAGGTGGATTGGCCATGGGACATGCAGGGTTACAGGTCTGGATGAGTTGCTCTTTGGCGGGCCAGTGTAGACTCAATGGGCCAAATGGCCTTTTTCCACACTGTAGGGACTCCACAATTCTACTTGTGACTCCAGATCCACAACAATATGGTTGAACTCTTTACTGCCCTCTGGGTAAATATGGATGATCAATAAATGCTGGCCCAGCTAGTGATGCCCTCATCCTGTCAGCAAATAGGAAACAAAAACCCTGTTTCCCAAAACAAAAGGCAAAAGTTGGTTACATTTGAATGGTTCTGGGCTGGTCTACGGTCAAATGTATTTTCAGATTTAAAGGAGGTGCCGGTGTTGGACTGGGGTGGACAAGGTCAGAAATCACATGACACCAGGTTATAGTCCAACAGGTTTATTTGAAATCACAAGCTTTTGGGGCACTGCCCCTTTGTCAGGTGATGAAGGGGCAGCACTCTGAAAGCTTGTGATTTCAAATAAACCTATTGGACTATAACCTGGTGTCATGTGACTTCTGACTTGGAGATTTAAAGGGGTATTCGATCCAAATCACGGGCAGACCCAGTGATACAGACTCTGCAGAAGACAGGCAGTTGCTGTCAACATAAATATATTGGATCTTCTCTAACCACCCTGCTGTATGTGCAACATTGTATTACCAAAACCTCAGCCCCCATCCTATAATTTGCAACAAGCTGATGGGTTATCAAAAGATCTGCACTCCCCCTGTCATGATGTTCAGCGAATTCTATGAATTTGGGTCCAATCAGCTTCATTATTATGCCCATTGGCATGGATTGTATTGGCATGGATAGCACGGATACATTGGCATGTATTGGCATGGATAGAGGATTGGTTGACCAGTAGAAAGCAGAGAGTAGGGGTGAATGGATGTTTTTCTGGTTGGCGGTCAGTGGCTAGTGGTGTGCCTCAGGAATCAGTGTTGGGACCGCACTTGTTTACAATTTACTTAGATGATTTGGAGTTGGGGACTAAGTGTGGTGTGTCAAAATTTGCAGATGACACTAAGGTGAGTGGTAGAGCAAAGTGTGCAGAAGACACTGAAAGTCCGCAGAGGGATATAGATAGTCTAAGTGAGTGGGCTAAGGTCATTCAGATGGAATACAATGTTGATAAGTGTGAGGTCAGCCATTTTAGTAGGAATAACAGCAAAATGGACTATGTTTTAAATGGTAAAAAATTGCAGCACGCTGCTGTGCAGAGGGACTTGGGTGTCCTTGTGCATGAATCACTAAAAGTAGAATTGCAGGTGCAGCAGGTAATTAAAAAGGCAAATGGAATTTTGTCTGCCATTGCTAGAGGGATGGAGTTTAAAAACAGGGAGGCTATGCTGCAGCTGTATAGGGTCCTGGTGAGGCCACACCTGGAGTACTGTGTGCAGTTTTGGTCTCCTTACTTGAGAAGAGATATACCAGCACTGGAGGGGGTGCAGAGGAGATTCACTCGGTTGATTCCAGAGTTGAGAGGGTTGGATTATGAGGAGAGACTGAGTAGACTGGGATTATACTCATCGGAATTCAGAAGGATGAGGGGAGATCTTATAGAAACATATAAGATTATGAAGGGAGTAGATAAGGTGGAGGCAGGGAGGTTGTTTCCGCTAGCAGGTGAAACTAGGACTAGAGGGCATTGCCTCAAAATAAAGGGAAGCAGATGTAGGACTGAGGTCAGGAGGAACTTCTTCACCCAAAGGGTTGTGAATCTGTGGAATTCCCTGCCCAGTGAAGTGGTTGAAGCTACCTCGCTGAATGTTTTTAAGGCAAGGAATAGATAAATTTTTGAACAGTAAAGGAATTAAGGGTTATGGTGAGTGGGCAGGTAAGTGGAGCTGAGTCTCAAAAAGATCAACCATGATCTTATTAAATGGCAGGGCAGGCTCGAGGGGCCGGATGGCCTTCTCCTGCTCCTAGTTCTTATGTTCTTATTCTACATAGCCTACACTATAAGGGGAGTTTTTAATTTATTCACTTGAGGTACATGGGCATCACTGCCTGGGCCCAGCATTTCTCGCCCATCCTTAGTTGCCCTTGAGAAGGTGGTGGTGAGCTGCCTTCTAGAACCACTACAGTCCACGTGTGGCAGATAAACCCACAGTGCCCTTAGGGGGAGAATTCCAGAATTTTAATCCAGCAACACTGGAGGAATGGCAATATATTTCCAAGTCAGGATGTTGAGTGGCTGGGAGGGGAACTTGCAGAGGGTGGTATTCCCATGTATCTGCTCACTTTGTCCTTCTAGATGGTAGTGGTCATGGGTTTGGAGGGTGCTGTCTGAGGACCTTTAGTGAATTTGATGGTCGAGGGTGGGGATGTGGTCAAATGCGACTACAGTCAAACTGCTCCTTTTGCTTTCAACTTGCCAGGGTGAACTGCAGATTGAATGTGCTCAGCAAGTCAGACAGAAACATCAATAAAATACATTTCATCATCCAGGTCAAATTTGCCCCAACAGGTTAGCTGGCATGGGCAAGTATTGGCATGGTTATGGTGGAGTGAATGCCTCAGTTTAATTTTCCCTGGTTTAGGGAGCCCCTGCCAGGAAGCAAACAGAATTCCCTGGCTTAACTCCAGCTAAAACCAGCACAGAAATACATTTCCCTGGGAGATGAAGGTGACCTGGAGACAATGAATAATTGAAAGAGTGTTACAATGATTCAGAGGCTTCCTTCCAACAATCTGCCCAAGAGTGTGTGACCAATAGTGAAGATCTTCTACAAATACAATAATTTGTCAACTCAAAAATCACCAATAAAGAGACTTTATACACAGGAAGCTCAGAGTTAATGAAAAGTCAGTTAACGTTACCTTGTGTTTGCTGGACAGCGCAGTCATAAGAGTAACGCTAGACTAGAATATCAACCTGATACCCAATTGTACAAGCATTGCATAAAGGTATGTCTGGTGGTAACGATGACACTTAATTGATGTTGACACATAAAGAGCAATCCCCAGAAGTATACTTCAATAACATTAAACAATAAACCTTTAAAAACAGCATTTTGTAGTGAATTGGTTCCCTTACATAACCGCGTCCCACATGGCTCCATTTCTTTCGGACATTTTGATCAGCTGTGAATATCACTAAAGGAAGATTTTTAATATTTAAAGATGCAACCAATTTGTTTGTGTGCCATTAACTCAGTGGCTCTTTGCACTCATCACGGTTAGAAATCTTAGAAGATCCAGGAAGGATTTGATACCATATATATGGGTGCCTGTGACAGCTGGTTGGGCAGACTCAGTGATGATAACAGTCGGGGGAGCAGCGCTGGTAGTGTCGGTTGTGGTAGATATGGTAGTTATGGCGGTGGTCGCAGCAGGAGTAGTTGGGACAGGTGTGAATCTTGACACGACTAAGAGGAGGGAAAAAGAAAGACAACAGAAATGAACCACCCTAATGCGGGTGGGTTCAGAAAGACACTGCATCTTCACAGCATTCTCTCCCCTGCCTTCCCCCGATCCCCTGATGCACTGATGGTCCTTAACAATCTTTTGGAGACGGGTGGAGCTGTTTGGACACTGTTCAGTTCAGTGGTGCAGTGCACTGGAACACCAATGAAAGGTGATGTGGCCATGGGGATGGAAGGAAGGAAAACAGGGAAGGACAAATGAAAGAACAATTGATAATCTGCCTCTATATACCGCCTTTCACAAATCTCAGTTTGCTCACAGCAAAGTTCCACAAACAGCAGTAACTAGAGGTTAAACTTGCTAACTCTGCCTCTGGATATCTTGTCTTCCTCTGGCTAATTAGGAAAGAAACAGCCTCTTTGTTATACGATTGGATTAATTCTGATTTCCAGTCAGTCCTTCCCCCATATCTCTACCTGGATAGTGAAAGTAAATGAAAAATACATCATTTGAAAGAAAATGTTCTCCTCGACTTTTGTGCACAGCCACTTTTTATCCGGAAGATTAATCTTCATTTACTGGGGATTACAGAGCAATCCTGGATTTAGGATATTTTTTCTGCAGAGGTTCCAAGGTGGACCGACTGAGGGAACTAAACTGAGCTGGCAAAAAAAAATCTCCTAGTTGTGCAAAAACTTTGAATGGAGCTGGTGGACGAAGGAGGACTCAGGCAGCAAATGAAAGAGATAGGCAACATGCTTAGGCTTCAGTCAGTGTGCAAAGCACCCTCACTGAGTGCACACTGCTCTCAACAGTGTTCCCAGTCCCATTCAAACAATAAGTCACTTGATTTGATTACCGGCTGTTTAGAATCATCACTGCATCGACAAAGTGCTCAAAAAAGGGAGATCTGTAACTGCAGATTACAAAATCATTTTGAAGAGGCAGCATCCTTTGTAAGACTCCGCACACAGGTTAAGTTGCACATATTTGTTTGAATGGCTTCAACCTTAATATAATAATCACTTTGTTCCATTATAGTATAGTGGAGGAGCAATATTACATACCGCAGACAGAATTGCAAAATAACCAACCCCAGAACTATATAAGTATATTATTTTCTTCAAATTAAATGCTCCGATCAAATTTTAAAACATTTCCGTTCAAAGTTGCGACAATGGCCTGCCTTTCTGAAGTTTTTACAAAGAATGCAATGCCCCTTTAATTGTTAAAGTTTAATTAAATCCCCTCAAAAAAAACATTGCCCACATCTTGCAAACAGAAGTCTTTTCATATATCAGCAACAGCATGACTGAATTTACAAATCTCGAACACGCAGATGAAAGTCAAACATGAATGAGGATAGAAATAGGGTAGGAAGGAGCTTTCAGCGAATCAACGGAGCAATTAACCAAGTTTTTAAAAAAAATTCCAGGTCATTCCGCAGGCAAAGTGCTGCCATGCCACAGCTTGAAGCTAGACTTTCACTTGTATTTCATCAACGCAGCCTTTAAACAGTGCAGCCAGCTCCTGCCTTATTGCCAAGACTTGGTGTATAGACATGCACTTGGTCTCATACACACACACACACACACACACACACAGAATAAAGAAGCCAAAACTTTCACAAGCCAGAAAAAAAAACAAGCAGCTTCTGGTTGCTCAGACAAGAGGAAAGTAAATCTATCCAGTTTTTGTTGTGGTCCCCACAAACTGTTCCTCTCTGCCTGGACCCTATAATCGGGGTTCCAGTGACAGCTTTGTAACTGAAGTTAATTATTGTGAGATTGTGATGATATATACAGTTAGAAACCCAGTCCAACTCAATGTGCACCTGCTTTTGCTTTTGCTGACGTTACTGAAACGCTGAGGCTTGCCTGCATTATGTCGGGTAACTTAAACTTTTTAATTGTCAAGTTTGCTTACTGGATGTCACAACAGGACATTGTGAGTGCATCTCGACATTCAGTCCAGTTACACACTTTGGGGCTGGCTTATTCATTAAAGACAGGCTCCAGAGTAAATGACCCACCTCCGAATGCCCAATTCGCGCCACATCAATTTTTCGGCCCTTTAATTCGACGAGAGGTGGGGCTTCAATCAATCTCCAGGAGGAAGCCCCTCCTCACAGAGCTGTCAGCCAATCGAAGGTCAATAGCTCTGTGCTGCCATCAGGAGAAGTGGTTGCTGCCAGTACTGCAGGGGGCTCAGGAGGATAAACAACTGTGGGAAATCTGGAACTTGGGCATCTGGGATCTTGCTGGGCTTATGTAAGGCCTTAGGGAATATGTGGAGTGGAATAAAGGGGCGGAATTGTGGTGGTGGGGGGTAAGGAGCTGGAAGTAAAAGGGGCAGGGATGAGCTTTCAATAGGGCAGAGGGAAAGGCGAGGCAGCACATCCCCTCCTCCATTTCACTGGCCTGTACCCTCAGGATCAAACCTGTCAGCACAGGTCTCTCCTGCAAACCCCCCAAAATATATGGCTACATCGTATTGCTAACATCCCCCAGACTGTTCCACAAACTTCAGACCAAAGGAATAGTGCTGGAGCACTCAGTCCCATGTTTTGTGCACACACACACACGCGCACACACACACATACACAGACACATACACAGACGCACACACATACACACACACAGACACACACATAAACTCACACACATACACACACACATACATACACACACGTATACACACACACACACACATGCACACACACATACTCACATTGACACACACACACTCATGCACACACACGCGCGTGCAAACACATACTCACATTGACACATATACGCTCATGCACTCTTACACACACACAGACACGCACGCACAAACACAATTGACACACACTCATGCACTCTTACACACACACACAGACATGCACACGCACACTGACACATACACACACTCACATTGACACACACACTCACGCACACGCACACACACAGACACAGACACATGCACAGTCAGTGGTGGGACACTCAGTCCCTGTCTCTCACACACACACATATACACACAGAGTCAGGGGTGGGACACTCAGTCCCTGTCTCTCTCACAGACATATACACACACAGTCAGTGGTGGGACACTCAGTCCCTGT